GAGGGGACACAATAAGCAGGTCCTCAAGAAGTCACGCCAGGCTCTTGTCTTCTGAGGCGCCTTTCCTGGTGCCTGGACTGGGTGTTACCTGCCTATGTTCCTGGTGGAGTCGGATTTTATCACTTATGCTCAGAAAACGGAGGCTGCTCTTGGAATTTGGCACGGCCTGCAGGACCTTCTCTGCCAGAGTGTTCTATGGCCAAAGGATGACCAGGACTGGCTGTTTGAACGGTCATAAATTCAAAAGACATGTCCACGTGGGCTTTGCCAAGGGTGGGGCTGCCCTGGCGCTGCGTCAGATCTGGCTGGGAGGTGGGCGTGGCCAGCTTGGCCCAGAACCGGCACAGTCTGTGTAAACATTCTTCCCCTCTGATATCAAGGGTGTTGGTCAGGGCTCTTGGTGCAGAGCAGGCTGACCCTGGCTTTCTTAGGCACAGAGGGACCGGAGTTCACAGAATCCTGTGGGCTGGAAGTCAGGCTCGGAAAACAGAGCCAGCTAAGAAAGCTGGACAGTCAGGACAGGGGAGTCCCCGCTGAGGCCATGCTGTGAGGACACACTGTCCACAGCTTCTGGGAGACTTCATGTCCTAGAGAAGAGGCCCACCACAGAACTTGAGTTGCGGGCTCACCCCCAGCATGCCCAGGGGGAAATAGAGGCACTGGTGCCCTTTGGTTCTCCACATGGCGGCGGGGCACCTCCTATCCCGTCCATGTGCAATGGCAAATTCCTCCAAAATCTTTAAGGGCTGATGTGATAGTTTCTTTCTTTTCCATATAATGCAGGTGTTCCCAGTTGGTGGGGGCTAGCATGTTGGCGACCCCGGCCTTTCCAAAGTGAGTTCCCCTGAGTCTCAGCACCCTCTGCTTTAGGCAGAAAAGGATGAGGCCACACCAAGCGCAGTATAAAAGCCCTGGCTGGGCTGGAGTGGCGGGTGGGGTGGATAGTGAGCCTCACATCTGCTCAAGTTCCCTGAACCCACTGCAGGGCCCCAGAGGCATGGGGGCCAGAGGGGGCCAGTGAGCACTGGGGGCTTCTGCCACGGTGCCTATGAAGGGAGGGAGGGCATCCTGGCTCCAGGGTGGACAGAGGGTCAGTCTCTGCTCCCAGAGGGACAGGACGGGTAGGTCTCAGGAGAGCACCCTCTCCCAGGGCAGGGGTAGAGGGTACCCTTGCTGCAGAGTGGCTCCCCGGCTCCCTGGCGTTGGGCACCTGGCCACGGCATTGTGCAGGCCCTCAGCACCACCTAAGGAGTAAATGCTGTTCTTTCCATTTTACAGCTGAGAGAGCTCAGTTCAGAGGCCGTTGAGGGTTTCGCGCGCAGCTGGGCAGTCATGGAACTTGGATGCACACCTAGGTCTTGCCTGTCTTCTTTTTCCAGGGTTGAGGATGGAACCCAGGGCCTCACCCACTGACAAGGGCTCCCCTGAGCTCCGCCCCAGTCCACAGGCCGCATCTGTTCCCACCCCTTGCTCAGTTTCTGTTTTCCACCTGACATAAGGGTCGTCAGGCTCCCCCCAAACTGAAGCACCCTCCATTCTGCTCCAGAAGGCTTGCAGTAAAACTCTGCAATTCAGATCCAGATAACCCACAGGCAGTGCAGGAACGTGACAGGGATCTGGGTCTGAAGGGCCCCGCGAGGAGTCAGCATGGGGGAGTCTGGATGAGCTGGAGGAGCTGGGAGGGATGACGGGGAGGTGCAGTCTGACTCAAGGGCGAGAAGTTACCATCATCAAATATTTCCCTAATTGCAAAAAAATTAAGGGACTGAGGGATGCCAAAAAAATAAAGTACAAGTGTACTAGGCGTTGGCTTTTTTGGCAAAGCAAATCTGTCTGTAATCACTTTTAAAAAGATATAAAAGGAATTGCCTTCCAAAATGTGATCATTTAAGCCCGGCTTTTTATCTGTTTTTTCAGAAACATTGCATTTTGAAGGGAACCGTATTAGCTGAAGATGGTGGATTTGTCTGGTAATTGCTTTCTATTATAAATCTAAGCAACATTTAACACCACCAGGGAATGCAAAATTATCAGGAAAGCGAAACACAGAAATTGTCTTTTTCCAAGTTGAAAATTCTGTTTTCCTCGTCGAAAAACAAATGTTCTGAGGTTTGCAGAACACCATTTTGGAGGGCTTAGCAAGATTACAGGACAGCGGTTATCAATTTCCCAAACTCCCCGCGGCATGTAGTTCTCGGGGACAGCACTGAGCCACCCCATGCACAGCCGTCTCCACCTGGGGTGGCTTCCTCACCAGTGAGCAGGGGTGACACAGGGTCCTGCTCTAGGTATTAGGACATCTGTGCTGGTCTTGGCTGAGGCCTGGGTGTTTGTGTCTATCCCCCAACTCATGTTGAGTTCTTCACCCTGAGGCCATGGTCAGGAGGTGGGGGAAGTGATTAAGGCCTCCCGACTGGGAGAGACCAGAGGGCCCCCTGCCCCTTCCACCACTGGCGAGCAGAGACAAGGTGCCATCTGCCCACCCAGGAAGAAGCCCTCAGCAGACACAGAGGGTCCTTGGACCTAGACGTTGGGCCTCCAGCCTGCAGCCCTGTCAGCACCAACCCCCTCTCTGAGTGTCATGATTGGTGTTATTCTGCCAAATCCTTTTTGAACATTTATCAATACCTATCTTTACAGGGATTGAAAAATGGTAGCCTCAGGCCTGAGTTGGCCTGTGTATGTAGTTTCAGGATATTTGAATTGTCAATGTTGAAGAGTCAAAGGGATTTACACATAATTTGGAATTCCCAGCATTTCCACAGAACTCATAAAACCCATCTGATCTTGGGAAACAGGGTCCTTGGCTCTGCCTGGTAGGGAGGACTGTGTCCCAAGACCCCCCGGCGTCTGAGAGTTGTCTAGAGCAGGCACAGCTGGCTTCAGGGCTGCTCAGAGGCCAGTGGCCTCTCTCCTGCCAGCACCCTGCTGCCGAAGTAGTTAAATCTACCTGCTCACACCCCGGCCGTCTGGGAGGGAGGCACCTCCAGGTCCTCACCACATGTGGGGTCCCCAGTCTTTTAATGTCAGCACTGTGGGTGTGACGTGCACAGTGGGAAGTCAGGGTGGCTTTCGTCTGCGTTTTCCTATGACTAATGAGGTCGAGCATCTGGTGTCTGCACCCTCCTCCGGAGGTCTCTGTTCCAGGATTGCTCTCGCCCCTGAGCTTCCCAAGCTTCCTTCTGCATTGCTGGAACCAGACCTGCTCCCCTCTTGAGGACCCTGGCCTTGCCTGGACAGCGCCTCTCCTGCAGGGCCCCTCCTAGCTCCCTGGAAGCCCTCCAGGAGCCAGAGGGCAGTGGACACCTGCTGGACCTTGCTCAGGAAACCTGAGCTCTTTCCATCAGGGCCCAGGAAAAACCCGGCAGCAGAGATTAAGCCCAGTTTGCTTTCTGTCAGCAGAATAGAGGCTCGGGGCTGCTAGGGCTGGGTAGGGCCAGAGAAGATCCTGTGGCACAAGGGAACCACCAGGCAGGGAGACCTGGGGACTGGGCTGGAATCCTCTGCCACCCTCTGATCTACAGGGCAGCTGGGAGCAGCCCTGTCCCCCTGTTGCTATCCGGCCCTTCCTCCTGTGGGTGCTTTGCAGCGATGCCCTTGGGTGGACCACTCGTCACCTGTGTCCTTGCTCCCTTGTCTTCCCAGCAGGACTGTGAGGAGCCTCGGTGGCTCCCCCGCCCCTCCCACCCCAGCAGGGAGCCTCAGCCATCCTGAGGCCTATTGCCCACCTGATGGCGGTTCCAGCTCGAGCCACTCAGCCATCCCACCATCCCGAGTGAGGGCAGGCACTCCCTCAGGGCAGCACAGGATGGAGTCCCCAATGGCTGGAATCTGCTGTGTTCCACCAGCCCAGAGGCCAGGCCGGGTCAGAACCTGCCGGGCACAGCACACCCCTCAGGCTGCTCCACCTCCTAGAAACGGGCAGGGAGTGGCCCTGTCTGCTGAGCAGCAGTGAGGGGCGCACCAGCTTCACACGTGGGGTGGGCTGAGAGGCAGCTGTCCCCCACGCGGCCTCCCTCGGTTCTTGAATGTTCTATGAGTGAATCACAGGCACTTGGAAAGCAAGAGGGGACAGAGGAACTGAATGTGTAACACACAGTGCCTGAGCCGGCTTCTTAGAACGAGGGGCCTCTGTAGAACAGGACTCGGCCACGCAGGGGACTACGCCAGGGCTGGGGTCTCTGGCTTTGCCCCTCCAGAACTCTCAGAGCAGTGTGCCCTTCTGGGTCTGCTGCCACTGTCCCCAGCCCTGGTGGACCAGAGGAGGCCAGAGCCCTGTGAGTTGCTGAGGGACATCACCTCTGGCGATGGTTTCCGTTGGTCTAGCTGGCTTTCCTGGTCTCCTGTCTGAGCCATCCGCCCTCGCTGGGACCTGGACATCTTGCCGCTTTAACTGCCAGCGTATTGCAGCCTGTGGGCCAGCGCCCCGCACCACAGCTTCGAGGTTGCAGCTGGGCGACTAGCTCTGGCACCTGGAAGAAGCAGTCTTGAAGCTCTTCAGCCTGCCCCGGTCCCCATCATCCTGAGGGTCCTCCCCCAGCGCCTGTAGGGAGCCAGGGTTCCTCTTGGGAAAACTGGCAGTGCCCCTCCCCCCCATGGCCCCTTCTGCACATTAACTTGCCTGAACCACTGGGCGCCTTCTATCCTGCTCCTTGATGACGAATGCCAGCTTCTCTGGATACCAGAAATTGGTCTCCTGGCACCATTACGATGAGCCAGAGGTAGGCAGGCTCAGCTGCCAGCACCTCTGTCAATGTGGGGTAAGGCAGAGGGCCAGGCAGAGCTGGGTCCCATGTCCCTGGCCTGCCCATCCCGTAGCCTGTCTCTGCTGCCTTTTCCCGTTTGCTTCCATCAAGTGGACCGGCAAAGCAGGGCTCAGGCCCGCAGGGCACCAGCCCACAGGGTGCGTGTGGGTTCCCTGGCCCTTTTGGCTGCAGCACCCTCTCCCCAGATGCTCGGTCTCTCTTCACTACTGACCCTGCCTCGCCAAAGACCAAAAGATGGCCACAGTCCACACCCGATGTGAACGCTACTGGCTTGACGGCACCATTGGGGTTCCTGTACCTGTCTATGGGCCACAGCGGCTCAGGTAACGCAGCCAAAGCAACCTGGTGATGACCCTTCTCAGTGCAGCTATCGCAGGACCCGTTTGACGAGCGTTTCACAATCATTTTAATCAAATGGGCCAGAGAATTGACACCAGAAGCCTTGCTGCCTCCTGGGACACTTGTGTTTTCTTGTCTGTGTTGGTCATCCTCATAGTCCTGCCGGAAGTGCACGGCTAATCGCCCACTTTGTCATTTCCCCTCCCATTGGAAAGCCAGTGAACTCAGGGGTGCTTCAGCTTTGCGACGAATCTGCCTCTGCCTTCCACGGGACTATCGCCTTGGAAATTAATTCTTTGAAAGGCAAGATTTGTACAGAGCAGCTCGGTCTTCTCTCTGGGTGACAGTGCACGGGGCGTGCAGGCTGCTCACCCTGGCCCAGGGGATGTGCTGTCAGTTACCCGGCTCCGCAGAGGTGGAATATGAAGGTGTGTCCAGAGGAAGGAAGTCGTGTTCTCCAGTGAGGACGAAGCTCTGAGACCAGGAAGGTCTCTGCACCTGTGTGGAGTGGAGGAGAAAACCTGGAACCAGTCCTGATCCCACAGGCCTCTCTGAGCTGTGAGTGAGAGGGCAGGGCGACCCCGGGTGGGGGACCCTGTCATGCACTGTTAGGCTGACGTTGGGTTAGCAGTGAGCTCATCAACGCACATTTAGTTTTTGGAAACTTTCCTTTCCTGCCGGGTGTTGAGAGCTTGGAGTGAGACTCCCTGGGTCTGCACCTTCCTCCCCTGCCTGTAGATCCCGCGGGGCCTCAGAGCCCTCTTCCGGGAGGAAGCCTGGGGGCAGCACTCACGTCTCTGGGTGGCCCTGGGGCTCAGGGAGGTGCCTCTGGAGATCACCCAGAGCCACTTGCAGGGTTACCGCCTGTGAGCATCTGCTCCAGGGCTGGAGATGGCCAGGGCGATGGCGATGATGAGAACACTGTTGCATCTGATGGGAGCTGAGGGTGGAGAAGCGGAAGGGAGGACAATCTGGCCCTCTCCTACCCGCACCCCACACTACCGCCCGAGTTCAGGAGCAACCAAAGACACACTTGTTATTAGCAACCTCAAAAGGTCCTGGTTCCGGCTGCATTTTTTTGTCTTCTAGAAGGAATTAAGGCTTGACCATCCCACTGCCTCCTTGCGGCACATGGGGTCTTGGACGTCCAGCGGGGCAGTCACATGGCTTCAGTGTTGTTTTCCTACTGGAGGGAAGACAGATGGGTCGGGACACAGTAGTGTTTATGGAGCAGGCTACATGCAAGAGTTGTTCCTCCCCGTACTTAACAGCTGCTCGTGTAGGTCTGGGGAAGGCTCCTGACAATGTGTTTGCCGGCTCACCATCTACGGCTCACCCCTTTTGTCTCTCATACATCACCCTTCCCAGTGCTTGTCCTCCTTAGAGGAATTTCATCTACTCTTGCAAATGGTTTTTGAAAGCTTTCACTGAAGTTGTCAGGGAGACTGGGAAGCCCCAGTTCTCTGAGGAACTTTTGCCAGTCTACCCCCTCCACACCCAATATATGGTTTGGAAACTAAACCAAATGCTGTCAGGAGAATATGCTCTTCAGTGCTGGGCACAGTCGTGCATGCCTGAGAGCCCAACAACTCTGAAGGCTGAGACGGGAGGATCGCAAGTTCAAGGTCAGCCTCAGCAAATTAGCAAGGCCCTAAGCAATTAAGAGAGAACTGGTCTCAAATAAAAAACAGAAAATCAAAATAGGGCTGTAGCTATAGCTCAGCATTTGCTGAGTATGCACCAGGCCTGGGTTCCCTCTCCAGTTCAGGGGGAAAAAAAGCCATCTGTAGTTCAATATACTTAATTTAAATAGATTGCAGACTAGTATTTTCTCCATTTACAATTTTTACTTGGCATTCTCTTTGTCCACGTACCAAGGAGATAGATGAAGGCTTATTCCTGCATTCCAGGAGCACCAGAGAAGGGACGGGAAAGGAGCAGGGGCAGAAGGTCTCCGGACAGCCGGCTCATTAATACAGCTAATGCTAATTAGCTGGTCTAGAGCAACATGCAGGAGTGTATGCTCGGACCCTGGCTCAGGAAACATCACCCTTGGTGACTGCATGGCTAGTGACGTGGAGCACCTTGGAATTTGTATGTGAGAGGCAGACAGGTGAGTTCAGGGCTTGCAGCTCAGCCCTTCGCAAATCCTGCACATTTTGACTTAGATACTTCCTCAGGTGTGGCTCTCGGATGTCCGCAACTTAGGGCCAGGGAAGTGAACCAAATGACAGACTAAAAAACGTTAACTGATTGGGCATCTAAAGGAATCCTCCAATGCTGTGAAAATGTAGAAAGGATCAAGCCATCAGCATGACTGGCTTCTGTGCTCCCTGTGGCCTCCCCCTGCCCTGGGCTTGGGTGCTGGGCCACTGCCAATGCTGAGTGGGCACTGGCCACCCCAGGCTCCTGCTCATTGGGGGTGCTGGTCCTCTGGACCGCGCCCCAGCATGAGACCCTGCCGCAGGGGCATCCCAGGTCCTGTCTCCTCCATTCCCTTCCAGCGATGGCGTTACAGACCCACGCAGCCGGCAGTAGCATCTGCCTCGTTCCAGATAGCACCACGTGAGATGACCTGTCTCCTCCGGAATTCTTAGTGGGTTGTACGTTTTTATGGGAAATGAGGCCAACCAGGGAAGAAATCTAACAGCTGGGAAGTTTGTGAACTCTTCCGCCAGGATTACCAAGGATTTTAGGACCAGAAATGTGCAGGGATTTCTGTGCAATGTAATCAACTAGACTCTCGGTAAAATTGTCTTTTCTTTCTTTATTTTTGAAAATGGTGTTTGATCTTCTACGCGCACAGAGAAGATGAACAGGTGATGTTCTGTTTGCTGGAGAGGGAGGGCCTCCGACGGCCGTCTCTCGCCCCTTTTCTTACCCACCAGCCAAGCAGGGTCTTCTCCATGCAAGCCCAGAGACAGCACTGGGAACAGGCAGACTGGCCCCAGGAATGACCGTGACTTGGGGCCTCAGGGGGACAGTGTCTTTGGCTCTGGGCAGTTCAGTAACACGGAGAAGGAGGGACTGCAGAGGGAGCGCCTGTGCTTTTGTGAAGCGACTGTTAAGGAAAACTGACACTGCTGGGGGCTGCCTCCTGTCCCACACTGTCCCAGCTTGTTGGCAAGAGGGACTCATTCCAGGGACACTAACAAACACCACACTGAGGACAAACAAGCAGGGTGCACCCAGGGAGGGTGCTCAGGAGGTGTCAGAGGCTGCGAGCAGGCGAGGCCGACCCTGGGAGCAGGGCTGGCACCCCGGACGTGACCGAGAAGCGGCATCTCCATCCCCTTGAGTGACAAACTGAAGGTGGACGGCAATTTAACTGTGCAGGTGGCCTCTGAGGCACGTTCTCAGGAGCTCCCGAGGCCTCAGCTGTGGGACAGGTAGAGTGGGATCTGATCTGGCAGCCATTGGTGGCCACGGCACAGAAGGGTCAGCAATGTCCCATGAAGTGGAGCAGGTGAGACGCGTCAGGCAGCACCTGGACGCTGAGCAATCACCGGGGTGTGTCCTGGGGCTGGTGGCCTTCACGAGAGGAAGCTGGGCGAGGACACCCAGTAGAGCCCGTGCACCCAGGACCCCCAGGGAGGGCGGAGTGATAGGCTGCACCTGGAGCATGGGGTCGGCTGGGAAGAGGGACAGGATGACAGCTGAAGCTACTTGAAGCTGTACTTGCAAGGACAGACTAGTAACCCTCTGTCCTAGTGGACATCATCGAAGACTCCCAGGCATTGGCATCAGAGCGATAATTTAGGCTCTGCCACAATTTCCCTGCCCCAAAACATAATTACTGAATAAAGCGGTTCTTTTCCTTTCTGTTGGGTTTACATTTATTTCACTCTATTTTTTTCCAGTTTCTTATCACTGAAGCTTAAGTCACTGACTGGACATATTTTTTCTTTTCTAACAGTCATTCAAGGCTTTACATTTCCCTACAAGCTCTGCTTTATCTGTTCCCTGCAAAGTTTGGTACGTCATGTCTTCATTTTCACTGTTTAGGATTTTTTTGAATTTCTCTTGATGGCACGTTGTCACCCCCAGGTTGGGTGGTGTGTGCTTCTCAGAGCCCAGTGACGTAGACTTGCTGTTTTGTTTCCATAACTGATTTACAGCTCAATTTCCTGATGTCCGGAGGGCACATTTTATATGGTTTTGCTTCTTTCATATTGATTAAAATTTACTTTACGGCTTAGGATGGGGTTTATCCTGGTGACTAGCTCATGTGCCCTTGAGGAGACGTGTGTCCTGATGCTGTTGGGTGGAGTGTTCCAGGATGTCGATTAGATCCAGATGGCCCAGCAGGCAGCTCATCTCTTAGTCCCTTGCTGATTTTGCGAGTCCTAGTTCTGTTGCTGTGTTAGTCAGGATGCCTCCCAGAAACGTGGCCAACAGGACTTCCCTCTGTCTTTATCGGCCTATGATCCGCCTCTCCAGAGACAGACAGGGGAAGGGACTGACGTGATCATGGAACTGGACAGTCCTACCATATGCCGTCTGCAGGCCGGAGACCCAGGAAGACCGGTGGTGAAACCCAGTCTAAGTCTGAAGCCGGTGGACTTGCAGCTCTGACGATCAGGGGAGGAGAATGGAGGTCCCAGTGCAAGAGAAAGAGAGAGAGAGAGGAACAGAGGGAGGGAGGGAGGGAGGGAGACAGGTCCAGAGACAGACAGAGGAGCCAGAGACTGAGACCGTGGGACAGAGGCAGGGACAGAGAGATGGGTTGTTCAGGAGTCATGGTGCCACCCGTTCATCAGACGCTGACTCTCGGTCACACTGTGAAGGTCACAGCCTTATTTCTTCAAAACCGCTTTAGCACACACTCCTCCCTGCTGGGCTGTGGGTGGCAGTGTCACAGGCCCCTGGGGCTCTCCTAAGTCATTGTTCTCTGTTCGGACCCCTGTCTCTTCCGTTATCTCCTCCATTCCCACAGGCAGTTTAGAACTCCAGTGACGGGCATCTTGCTCCCGAGTTCCCGATG